TTTTGAGACAAGGTCTCAACATGTGGCCCAAGCTGACCTTGAATTCTCCATTCTCATGTCTCTGCCTCTGGAGTGCTGGGATTGCAGGCATGTGCCACGCATATTGCTTATTTCACTTTTAAGATTTTAGTGTGCACACACCCGAGCACACGTGTGCAAGAGAGTGCCAAGGTGTGAGTGTGGAGGCCAGAGGACAACTTACGAGAGTTGATTCTCTCCTTCCACCATGTGGGTCCTGAGGATTGAACTAAGATCATCAGGCTTAGTTTATTTGTGGAGCCATTTTACCAGCCCTAATTCTAAATTAAGAAATAATAACATAGGCCCTTATAGGGTACAATGCAATGTTTTGATGTGTGCACATTGTATAAAGATTAAACCAAGGGCTAGAGATATTAAGAGCACTGGCTGCTCTTGCAGAGGATCCGGGTTCGATTCCTAGCACTCAATGGTGGCTAACAACTGTCCCCAGCTCCAGTTCCAGGGGAATCTGAAGCTGTCTTCTGACCTCTGTCGGCACTGAAGAACCAGGGTGCACTCACACAGATGCAGGAAATACACTCGTACACAGAAAATAATTTTTTGTTTTGGTCTTTTTGAGACAGGGTCTCCCTGTAGCCCCAGCTGTCCTGGAACTCACTATGTCGACCAGGCTGCCCTTGAACTCACAGAGATCCACCGCAGACATCCACCTGCCTCTGCCTCCCGAGTGCTGGGACTAAAGGTGTCGCAGGTCACCAGAGCTCATTCGGCTAACTGAATCTTTGCCCTTTGGCCCCCATGTTGTCTCTCCATCCCCCACCCGGCCTCTGATGACCACTGCTCCGCTCTCCCATGTTCACCTTTTTAGATTTCACATAAAAGTGAGATCATGCTGTGTCTGTGTTTTGTGGACAGTGCCCTCTGGCTTCCTCCCTGTTGCTGTAAATGACAGAATTTCCTTCTTTTTTAAGGCTGAATAACATTTCAGGGGCTGGAGAGATGGCTCGGCAGTTAAGAACACTGGCTGCTCTTGCAAGGGACCCAAGTTTGGTTCCCAGTACCTGTGTCAGACAGCTCACAACCACCTAGAACTCCAGCTCCAGGGAACTGAGGCCCTATTCTGGCATCCATGGGAACTGCACATATGTGGTGCACATACATACATCCAATATCATACACACACACATTTTTTTAAATCTTTTTAAAAAAAGAAACTGAGGGGGCTGGAGAGATGGCTCGGCAGTTAAGAACACTGGCTGCTCTTGCAGAGGACATGGATTCGGTTCCACTACTCACATGGCAGTTAACAATGATCCGTACTGGTCTCTGTGGGCATTGAACGCAACAGTGCACTTACATGCATGCAAAACATACACATAAAACTTTTTAAAAAATTAAAAAGGGGCTGAAGAGATGGCTCAGCAATTTAGAGCACTGACTGCTCTTGCAGAGGACCTGGGATTGATTCCAAGCACCCACATGTCGGCTGACAACCATCTGTAACTCTGGTTCCAGGGGATCTGATGCCTTCTTCTGACTTCCAAGGACACTGTATGACATGGGTGCACTTACATACATGCAGGCAATACACTCATATGCATAAAATTAAAAAAATAAAGAGAAAAAAGAAACCCAGCCAAGGTCAGAAGGCCATTTTCTTTCACCATATTTATTCATTTATCCTTTCGTTTTGAAACAGGTTCTCCTTATGTAGTTCAGCCTAGCCTTGAACTTGCAATCCTCCTGCTACCTCAGGTATGTCGCCATGCCTGGAAGTATTTTATTTTTCTTTCACAGGTACATGAGCCCACTGCAGGCTTTCTTAGTCTGATGATATGGTCATGTGAGACCAGATAATTATTTTTTATTACATTTATTTGTGTGTGCGTATAGGCATGTGCTCATGTATGAGGGCCATGGGGCTCACATGGAGGTCAAAGGACAACTTTTCGGTGTTGGTCAGGCTGGCCTCGTTCTCATAGATATCCACCTGCCTCTGTCTCCTGAGTGCTGGAGTTAAAGGTGTGCACCATCATGCCCAGCTCTCCTTCCGCTTTGATAGGATGCTGATGCCATGCCACCTTAGAGCTGTCACCCTTCTTTGTCTCCAGACTAGAGACAACCCCAAGAGTGAGGCCATAAGGATGGGAAGAGAGGGAGTCCCCCATGAGCTCCTGGATCCATGCCTGAAGTGAGTTATCCCTGGAGTCTGTGATTACCTTTACTCCTCAGGCAGTCAGCTAGTGGTTGGTTTTCTGGAGCTTGTCCTGGGTGATACTGCCCAAGTCTACTCCTCCCACCCTGTCAAAGTCAGACCACCCACTCTTTCAACAGTCCAAGATCTCATCATCAATGTACAACTGCACTGTTATCTGTGATTGACTAATGTGTATCACGTAAACATCTGACCTAAGACCTGGTCAGTCTGGCGTGTAGCAGGGGCTCAGCAAGTTGGGGTTTGCAGGAGTGAGTACACGCACTTCTGTCTTGGGTCCCAAAGCCCAACACAGGGTCTTGAAGGGCAGAAGAGAGAATGGGAGGTGTGAGGTGTGCACCTCAGGAGTCAACACAGGTTCAGATACCAGCCTGGGGTGACCTACACAGGGAACTTATCCTTGCTGAACTTCCTCCAACCAGCTAGAGACAGCGCTGCGGTAGAGAATGAAATGACTCCTGTACCTAGCACTTCCAAGGTGCCCCCTGCTGTAGGGAACCATGCGACTGGACACAGGTGTCCCAACCAGTGGTCTCAGGTCTCAGGAGTACCATACAAGGTCAGGGCCTCCACACAGAAGATGCAAGAGTGTAAGTTGTCACAGACTCTTTAATCAGTCCTGGAGTGGCCATGTGAAGGCAAAGACGTGGGAGGGCCAGGCCTCAACCCCTGGGCAACTCGGGGCCGGCTAGGAAGGGCTGGTAGACACCAGGGGCCAGCAGCTTCAGGGTGAACTCAGTGATGACAGCTGTGATTCCCCAGACTCGGTGTGGTCCATGCAGAAAGACGGGCAGTGTGTAGCGGAAGTGGCCATGCTTGCAGAAGTGGGTATAGCCCTGATTCTGTGTCTGCAGCAGGTGGGCCAGTGGCAACTCAAACACCTCATCCACCTGTGGGCAGGAGGCAGTGAGAGGGCAGACAGAGGGCTGCCTCTGCATCCAACCAGTGGGACAGCCCATCCCCCCAGTATCCCCCATTCACCTCCTTGGGGTTGGGCCTGAGGCTCTGCAGATCCAGTGGGCCCACACTGGCAAGCACAGGTACTATGGTGGCCTTTTCCTGGGGCGGGAGAAGAGGGGACAGTGAGGAGAAGCAGGCCTGATAGGAAGACCCTGTCCTGCCATCCAGAGGCCTTGGGTAGTCATGGCCAAGCCCCCAATCCCTGCCCTTGGTCACATCATGCCATGCTGTCTGACACAGGGCCCGAAGTACTTAGAACCTCCTCCCCTTACCTGTACTACCATAAAACCTCCCACTTGACATTCAGCTGTGGGGTCAATGCTGCCTACCCTGCAAGCCTTCGAAGTCCTTTGCCTCCAGCTAAGCAGAGCTGGCTTGCCCCTTCACCCAAGTACTAAGTGAGTGATGGGAAGAGGGTGGCCTCGGGGCCTGGTGGCTCACCCGGTCATACACAGGCTGCAGGACACCCCACACCTGCTCCTCAGGCACTTCCAGGCCCAGCTCCTCCCGAGTCTCCCGCAGGGCTGTGTGTATCACATCTTGATCAGCAGGATCACACTTACCGCCTGGGAAACTGAATGGGCACAGGAAGTCTGGTCTTTGGGGTCTTGGGACCATGGAGAGGTGCAGGTGTTGGCAGTAAACACCATCTGCCTCTGCCCTAGTTGGCTGTGAGGCCTGGGGTCAGTGGCAGGACCTCAGGAGGCAGTTTTACCTCCCCATGCAATCAGAGACAGGCCCTGGAGACGCAGGTTAGGGCACGAGGGCCTGGCAGCAGGGCAAGATCTGGGGCGCAGACAGCCCGGGTCTGCCTACGGTGTCCCGTGGTGCAGACAGTGCCCCCGAGGTGTGCTGGGGTCCTGCTGGGGGTGAAGCCCAGGAAGGGCAGCCCTCTCCATAGTCTCCGGTAGGGGCGGAGTACTGTTTTCGGACAATGCAGTGAGAGGCGTGAGTCGGTGCTGTGCGCCGGCGCGGAGGGACAGGGTCGCCGAGTCCTCGCCGCAGCTCAGAGGCTCACCCAGGGTCCCCGCCTCCCGGGGCTCGGCGGCCGGTGTACCTGACGTCCCCCCGGTGCCTCCCGGCCAGGCGGCTGGAGCGCAGCGTGTAGAGCAGCGCCGGGGCCCCGCGCACCAGGCACAGCGGCACAAGCACCGCGGCCGCTGCAGGCCGCGAGCGGAGGCGAGCCGTGGTCCCCGCCAGCAGCCGCCGGCAGCGCCGTTCGCCCTCCGCGGACAGGCAGTCGGGCAGCATGTCCTGAATGACCCGGACCGAGGGCGCCGGCGACCGGGGAAGGACCCAGAGGCGCGCTGGCCCCGCCCAGAGCCGAGAGCGCGGGGCGGAGCCTCAACAGGGCCGGAAACTGGCGTTGGAGAGGCGCCGCGGGGCCTGGTGGGGCGGGGGCTTGGGACCGGGCCGTGGAGGCTCTCGGGGCGGGGCCCTGTTGGGTGAGGGGCTTGCTGAGAAGGAGCTTCGGAGGCACTCGGGGTGGAGCTTAATGGGGGCGAGGCCGGCTGAGGCCGGGCTTGCTGCGAAGCGCCCTTGGAGACGCTTAGGGGCGGGGTCTGGTGGGGCGGAGCTGCTGGGGCCTGGAAGCTCTCGGGGGCGGGGTCTTGTGGGGGCGGGGCCTGCTGCCGAGGCGCTTTGGGGCTCTCGGGGGCGGGGCCTTCCGGGGCGGGGCCTGCCGCCGGGCCTGAGCCGAAGGTCTCTCGTCCGGGGACAAGAGCAGGTCCTGAGGGTGTGGCCTCTCCTAGTACTGGCGGGGCGCGGCGGGCGCGGCGGGCCAGGCTTGGCTGCTCGACTGGAATTTCCTGCCTGGGTCCTGGCCTGCAAGGAAGACTGGAGGACCGCCGCTGGGTTGGCGTGGTCAGCGCGTTCCCAGGATGCTTGGAGGACCGCAGTGGATCCTGACCTTGGGGTTTGGGAGTCGGGGTGGCTGGCTGCAGAGGGTCTGCTGGGCTCCGCGACTTTCGCCCCTATGAGTGTGTCCGACCTTCCCAGAAGAGCTCAGAAAGTTTCTCAATGAGCAGAGTCTGCGCCCGGAACGTCTACTCCAGGAGGGCAAAGGACTGGACTGCGGGAGCCGCCTCCAGCCTTATCCACCCCCTCAGGCTCCAGCAAGCCGAACTCCAGCCACATCTTGATTAGATCCCCAAGTCTGCACCCTACTCCTACCCTGACCTCTGTGATCACTGCCTATCATGTTAAGCAGCTCTCGCCTGACCCAAGACTCTAAGGACCAGCTATTGGCATTGGCAAGAAGCATTTGAACGTGGAGTGACTGGTGTCGGTCTATGTGACTATGAGCAGGTTCCAAGCCTCTAAGCCAGTTGCCGGCATCATATGGGTACACAGAAGGTTAAGTGCAGCTTTGCCACTCCGTTGGTGTCACCAACTGTTACCATCACTCAGTGCCCCTGGGGATGTGGACATTATTGGGCTATGTGGGGACTGTCCCATCTGGGAGTTCCTGAAGCCTTCCACCCATCTGAAGACAGAAGTACTGAGTCCCCGTGTCAAGTGGTTTAATAGGGGAAGGGTCAAAGGAAGCAGGGATTTAGAGGAGTCAGGAAAAGGCATGATCCAGGGGTGCCAGGTGGGAGATGAGAGATCAAGGCTTTCAGCTGCCCATCCTTGGGAGAAGGGGTCTTTTATAGAGGAGGGTAGTAGGGCTAGGGTAGGAGGTAGGTAGGGCACAGGTTGCTTCCCACACAGGCTGAGGTACAGGGTAAGAGGGCTTCCACAGTTGGCGTCACTGAGCGTCCTGGCCAGGCCCGGGGTAGTAGGGCTAGGGTAGGAGGTAGGTAGGGCATGGGTTGCTTCCCACAGAGGCTGAGGTCCAGGGTAAGAGGGCTTCCACAGTTGGCGTCACTGAGCGTCCTGGCCAGGCCCCAGGCACACAGCAGAGGGGGCCAAGAGGCCCAGCCCAGCTGGGAAGGTTGGAGCCTCCTGATCTCCATCAGCCCGGATGTTGGGGAGGGGGTATGGTGCTGGTCGTGCCCTTGGAATCCCCACGTGGCTTGGAGATGCAGAGTACAGGCCCTGGTAGGGGAGCGGCCTGTAGGTGGCTGGGGCCAGCAGGGCCTCAGGGGCAGGCAGCAGCGGAAGGTGCAGCTGGGCAGGGGTCCTGGACTTGGAACCTGAAGCTTTACTGGTGTCTGGGTCGGGGGGAGGAAATGGTCTGAGTGGACCCAGGGCTTCTCTCACTTCCTCAGCCTTCATCCTGAGATCTACCCTGTCTCTCTTGTCCCTGGTTGTCCGTCTTGACTTACCTCAGTCTTTGCCCTTGCTGGGACTTTTATTCCCTCTTCTCTTCTGTCCAAATGTCTCCCATTCTTCCAAGGCCCAGCTCAGATGCCACCTCCTCCAGGAAACCCACTAGGCACACCTCTTTCTACACCTTGTCCCTGTCCTGCCTTCTCTGCCCAGGGGGGTTTCGGGGTCCTCACCTTTCTCCTGCCCTGCAGAGCCCTTCAATAGGCAGGGTCCAAGACTGCTCCGACTCCGGGCTGGGATGCTGAACAGTGGCCGTGGGGCCACAGGCCTGAAGATGGGGCAAACAGGAATGGAGGAGGGACGTCAAGGGGAAGAACCCCAGCCCAGACATGGTCAGAGTCAGATGTGGGGGAACCCTAGGGCAAACCAGAGGGTGTGACCCTGAAACAAGTCAGGAGTGAAAGCCTTAGGAGCTGCCTGGGGTAGGGGGTGGGTGTGGAGCTGAGTCTGGGCTTAGGGCCCCCAAGTAGAAAGCAGGAGAGTCAGCCAGTACCAAGAGTCCTGGTCACTCTCTCTAAAGCCTTTGGCGAAAGGGTTGCTGGCGATTTTCAGCTGAGTGATCTACAGAGAAAAAAGAACAGTTATGGGCTGGTCTGAGCAATTGAGGCCTGGGGAGGCCACATTTGGCCACTCTGTCCCCTGGGACCTCCCAGTTAGCAGGACCCAGACCTGTTGGCCCAAGATTTCCAGAGCCAGTGTGAAGGGAAAGGAAGGCATGCAGGCAGATGCCCAAGGGGCAGGAAGAGCAGGCATGTGGGCCTGTGAAGGAAGATCCCCCAGCCTGTCTCCACCCCTGAGAGATGGAGCTCCTCCTGAGCGCTGGCCTGACCCACCCGATGGTTCTGATAGGCCGTCACAGCCGTGAACTGGGTCTCTGTGAAGACAAAGGATTTGAAGTTTTCCTGGGCATAGCGGGCACTGTCCTTTCGTGGGTCCACGAAGACCACGTGGAAACGGGGCTGGTAACGGTGCATGGAGTTGAGGATGATCTGTGGGAGGGGCAGAGCCATGTACAGGGGTGGAGCCGGTGGGGCCACCCTCTGGGCCTGAAGCCCCTCCAACCTGTCTTGCCCAAGGCCTACCTGTAGCTTTACCCTTAGAACAGTGCTGAACCTTCCACCTACCACGAGGTAGACTGACGCCATCATCTTTCACAGGATCTCCTCAGCTGGCTTCCCTGCCTCCACTTTGCCCCTTTGCCCAACCTCCACAGTCAGCCAGCAAGACACATATGCACCTGGTCCCAACCCTCTGTGGCCCACATCCATGTGGAGGAAAAGCCAGGGTCCTCAACCTCAGGTACCCAGCCCTGTGCAACAACATCAGCCCCCCCCATCATTCTTCCCCTGCCTTTCTCCTTGCTCCACTCCAGCCCCCGGGGGCGGAGGGGAGTCTCTTTATAGTTCTCCCAACTCACTCCATATTTTCCATCCCCTGGGCCTTTGCATGCACTGTCCCCTGGGCTTAGAACAGCTAACCCTCTCACATTCCTTTCCTCCCTCTCTCCCTTCAGATCTCTGTTCAAATATCACACAGCCTCGCCAGCCCTGGTTCTAGGTTTGAGGACAATCGGGGCACAGCCCACCCCACCCTCACCTCCCCTACACCTGGCTCAGTCCCTCCCCACGATGGCTCACGTGGCCGTTGTCATCCAGCAAGTTGTTGGTCAGCTTGAGTTTATCAAAGGACACGATCTGACGCATCCACTGGGCGCCCTTGGCTGGAGAGTCAGGGTGGAAATGCACTCTGCCCGGCGTAGCAGGATCAGCCTTGCCTGCCACCAGCCAAGCAGAGCTGTGGAAGGCATACCTGAGGAAGCAGAGGGAGATGTCAGGGGTGGCTCCCACCCTACCCAGTGCCGAGCCTCACCAAGACAGTGAAGAGGCTGGTACTGACCACCAGGCCTGGTGGGCATTCTTTTTTTAATTTTTAAAAGCACACTTATTATTTGTGTGTGTGTGTGTGTGTGTGTGTGTGTGTGTGTGTGGTTACTCATGCCAAAGACTGTATTAGAAGTCAGAGGACAACTTGCAGGAGTCAGTTCTTTTCTTGCACCATGTGAGTTCTGGGAATCAAGCTCAGGTCATCAGCCTAGGTGGCAGGCACTTTCACTGACTGAGCCATCTTGCTAGCATCACCCACCCCTCACCCCCCGAAGGTTTTTTTTTTTTTTTTCTCGAGACTGAGACGGTCTCCCTGTAGCCCCAGCTGTCCTGGAACTCACTATGTAGACCAGGCTAGCCTTGAACTCACAGAGATCTGCCTGCCTCTGCCTCCCGTGTGCTGGGATTAAAGGTGTGCACCACCACGCCCAGCTGTTTTGGGGTTTTTTTGTTTTTTTTGTTTTTAAGATATAATCTCATATATCCCAGGCTGACCTCAAACTCACTATGTAGCTGAGGATAACCTTGAACTTCTGGTCCTCTTGCTTCCACCTCCCAAGTGCTGAATTACAAGCCTGCATCACTGCCTTCAGTTTATGTGGTGCAGGGGATGGAACCCAGGGATTAGTGCAGGCTAGGCAAATATTCTATCAACTGAATTACATCCCCAGCCTCATATGGCATCCTTTAGTTTGATTTACTTTTGTTTGGGTGCTGAGGTTGGAACCTAGGTCCTTGTGCATGCTAAGCAATCACTCTACCTACCACAGAGCCTCACCCCAGCCCTCTGGGGGACATCTTGTACCTGAAAAACCAAGTCTATAGGGGGGTGAGTTCCCTGTAGCTATAGGAGAATGAATTAACCCCTGCTGTCCTGAGCCAGCCCATTCAGCCTGCCTCAAGCTAGCCTATTCCCTCTGAGCTGGGCTTCCTCCTGCATAAAGGCTGTTATCCCAGGCTGGGTCTCCCAGTCATGGGCACAGAAGGGCCCCACCTCACCCTGTATACACCAAGGGGTCTAATTCCTGGTCTCAGCACCCCAGACCTGCACCCATCCCCTGCCAGCCCCTGACCTATATCTCTTGTTGTCCAGTGGGATGAAGTCCATGAGCAGAGCATAATCGGCCAGCGTGTCCATGCCCAGAATCTTCACCTGGAAGGTGGGGAACATCCGCCTGTGGGAGGGAGGTGCTTAGCCATCCAGCTGGCCATGGTTTCCACCCCTGCTGCCCACGGGCCCCATGCCCACACCTGCCCGCCTTGGTGACAATCATCTCTGTGCCCAGCTGGTTGAATTCCTCCCACAAGGGCTTCATCTCCAGCTGGACCATCACACTGGACACTCGTGGGTTCTTGGGGCCCTGCCCAGTGCACTCAGTCATGGCTTGGGCTTCTGTGGAGATGGTGCAAGGGCCTGATGGGAACAGTGTCTCCAGCCGAGACGCCCAGCCGGAGCTGGCTGCAGGCAGGGGGTAGGTCTCTGGGGGCGCAAGTACTCCTAGGCCAGCAGACAGGAAGACTGTGGAGAGAGGATGGAACTGTGAACCTTGACCACCTTGCCCTCCCAACTCACTGCCCAGTCAGCCTTCAGGTAGTACCCACATGCCGCTTCCTCGGGAGGGCCTCCCTGCCTACCAGGCTTGTGTTCTCAATGTCGACCCGCCAGCATCACCCCATGTTCTCCTAAAATGAACTTGAAGTCTTTTTCTTTTTTGAGACAAGGTCTCAAGTAGCCTAGGCTGACCTGAAACTCACTATGTAACTGAAGATAACCTTGAACTTCTGATCCTCCACATCTAGAAAGCTGGGATTACGATCCTGTGCCACCAATCCTAGCTTCTGAGTTGGGGTGTTGAGTGAGGGTCTCATTCTGTAGCTGGGGCCGTCCATAAACTGGAGGCAGTCCTTCTGCTTTGGGCTCTCAAGTGCTGGGATTACAGGTGTGAGCCACCATGCCTGGTCTTAAAGTCTTCTCCTGCAAGCTTCTGGAAAGTGGAGACAGCCCAGCCTGTGAGGACACACACAGGGCCCAACTCACAGGAAGCCCTGCGCAGGTGACATCTGTTATACATAATGTTAAGCAAGGTGGCAGTCAGTGGGTTGGAGGCTCTCCGAGCTCCGTAGAGCTGCAGCTGCCCAGTACACTAAGGGGAGAATCCAGTTCCCCAAATTATCTACCTTAGATTCTGGAACCTGGCAGGTCCTGCTGCCTGTGTCTTTCTGTCTGCTCCATTCTCTTCATTTTCTCTACAGTCTCAGTCTTGTGATTTGCAATATAAGCCTTGGCCAAAAGCTCAGACACTCTGCATCCTCTGATTTAAAATAATGCTTCTTGGGCCACGAGATGGCTCAGTGAGTAAAGGTTCTTGCTGGCAGGACTAATGTCCTGAGTTCAATCCCTGGGACCCACATGATGGAGGGAGAGAACCCACATGCACAAGTTGTCTTCTGACCTTCACATGTGTCCTGTAGCACAGGTGCCCACACACATACTAAATAAATAAATGTTAAATAAAATAATAATGCCGGGGGGCTGGAGAGACAGCTCAGTGGTTAAGATCACTGACTGCTCTTGCAGAGGACCCAGGTTCAATTCCCAACACCCACATGGTGGCTACAAACTGTCCTTAACTCCAGTTCCAGGGGAATCTGAAGCCCTCTTCTGACTTCCGAGGCACTGCACGACACGGGTGCACTCACATACATGCAGGCGATACACTCATACACATAAAATAAAAATAATAAATAAAATATTATGTGGATCTCTGGGAATTCAAGGCCAGTCTGGTCTACATAGTGAGTTCCAGGACAGCTGGGGCT